GTAGTTAAGGACTATAGCTTTGAAATGCTGCAGAGGTTAAAAGATTATTTACACTGTATCTGGGCTTCTGAGCATCTGAAAGAGTTACAGTTATTGATCTTACAGACACCCAGTCAAACACTGCATCCCACAGAGTGAGTGATGCAGAGGAAGTGTAGGTCGAGCAGTTGAGGTATGCAGACAGATGAAATGCACAACGCAGCTGATGAAGTTTCCTCCCTCCTGTCAGGCTCTTATTCTTTAACCCCATCTGCCCTTTCGTGCACACTGACACGTACTCAGACCTTGTCTTCTGCTGTCTCTGTGTTCAGTCGTGCGCACTGACACGTACTCAGACCTTGTCTTCTGCTGTCTCTGTGTTCAGCAGTGCATGAGAAGATTGTGTGGTATGTCTGCTTTAACAAACCCATGGCACTACCTAATTGGCTGCTGAGGAAGTACAGTCATACATAAAGCCAAAGCTGCACGGTAATGATGTCAGAGTCTTAATATTACTGTAATGCAGATCATAATTTGTGAGAAAACCTCACTCAGTCATGGTGAACATTATTATAAACATGCAGGACTTAAGTAATTTACAAAGAGAACTGAAGGAAAAACACAGGCTTAAAAGCTGTTACTGCTATAAAAGATGCCTATGAGATGTTGACTTGAACTGTTTAAAGATCAGTGTCTGTACATCGTACCATCACAGGTTTCAGTAAAAGCAAAAATGTTTGGTCATTATTTAGTTATCTAGTTTTTATTGCTTACTGTTTTAAATGTCATTCTAATGCTTTTCTACAGTACAGTCCAGACACAGAGGCTCCAAATAAGATTTTTTACCTGCTGAATTTTAGAACCAAACAGTATTCTGACAGTATTCCTAGTTTGTTGATGTTGAGGTGCAGGAAGTAAATTCAGCTGTTTATGTCTGTGATTAATATTTCAATCTGGACCAAAATGGTGGACTGACATGCCATTTCAGAAGCCATGCTGCTAATGTGGCTAAGATGTAGTTTCATCCAGCAGAAATGGCAGACTGAGCAGAACTAATGCAAAAAGAGGTGACATACAAGTTTCAGAAATGAAATGAAATCACATGACCAAGATATCCAAGAGTAATACACCATCTGTATCCATGTGTGACAACAGGGCTGTCACGGCAAAAATGTATGCATACACTGTAAGATGCAGTTCAGAGCCCAGGGTTCAGGATCCTTTGGGATTAATAAGAATTATTGAAAAAAAAGCATATTTTTTTTGATAGAAAGAAGAAAAGAAAGTGAGGAGGAGACGTGTAGTTAAGGACTATAGCTTTGAAATGCTGCAGAGGTTAAAAGATTATTTACACTGTATCTGGGCTTCTGAGCATCTGAAAGAGTTACAGTTATTGATCTTACAGACACCCAGTCAAACACTGCATCCCACAGAGTGAGTGATGCAGAGGAAGTGTAGGTCGAGCAGTTGAGGTATGCAGACAGATGAAATGCACAACGCAGCTGATGAAGTTTCCTCCCTCCTGTCAGGCTCTTATTCTTTAACCCCATCTGCCCTTTCGTGCACACTGACACGTACTCAGACCTTGTCTTCTGCTGTCTCTGTGTTCAGTCGTGCGCACTGACACGTACTCAGACCTTGTCTTCTGCTGTCTCTGTGTTCAGCAGTGCATGAGAAGATTGTGTGGTATGTCTGCTTTAACAAACCCATGGCACTACCTAATTGGCTGCTGAGGAAGTACAGTCATACATAAAGCCAAAGCTGCACGGTAATGATGTCAGAGTCTTAACCCCTTTTTTTTTTCTTGGCGTCTAAACCAACCAAAAACTGGTTTAAGAAACCCACTGATGGTTACAGGAAGTGACTGATTTCAGTTCCTTTGTCCAGAGGGTGTGTTACCAAAAATTAAGCTGAGGGTGTCAATAATTCTGTCCAGTCCATTTTTGGAGTTCTGTGTGGATGAAAATTAGCACCTCCAGGTCTGAGGCCATGGTGCTCTGCCGAAAAATGGTGGAAACCTTCTGGGTTGGGAGTGAGTTGCTGCCCAAGTTTGACTATCTTGGGGTCTTGTTCATGAGTGAGGGTAAAATCAAGTGTGAGAGTCACAGGCCAATAGGGGAAGCTTCATGGTGAAGAAGGAGCTGAACCAAAAGGCAAAGTTCTCAATTTACTAGTCAGTCTATACTCCAACCCTCAAAAATGGTCACCAGCTGTGGGTAGTGAACGAAAGAATAAGATCACGAATACAAGCGGCTTAAATGACTTTCCTTCACAGGGTGGCCGGACTTAGCCTTAGAGATAGGGTGCAGAGTTTGGACGTCCAGAAGGGACTCGGAGTAGAACTACTGCTCCTTCACATTGAAAGGAGCCAGCTGAGGTGGTTTGGGCATCAGGATGCCTCCATGGTGCCTCCCTTTGGAGGTTTTCTGGACACATCCATCTGCTATGAGACCCCAGGGCAGACCCAAAACAAGCTGGAGAGATTATACTGTATATCTCATCGAGCCTGGGAATACCTCAGAATCCTGCCAGAGGAGCTGGAAAATGTCACTGGGGAGAGGGACATCTGGACTACCTTAATGAACTTGCTGCCACCGTGACCTGATCTCAAATAAGTGGAAGAAAATGCATAGATGGATGGATGAAACTCTAACTGACCTTGTGGAATTTAAAGTGGTCTACCCAGCCTCGATGCAATGAGTACAAGGGAGTTAATGTTACTGTATGTCACTCAGTACGCCAAATATATGGCTTGGAAAGACTAAATGTGCTTAACACCCTGAAGAAAATTAGACATGTCTATGCGAAATCCCTCAACCAGAATAGGTGGAGCAAAGTAAGAGAAACTAATTTCACAGTGTGATTCATGGTAAAGTTGATGGGTTGCTTGGAGTCATACGGGAAATGATATGACAGTATTATGTTAGTAACCAGGTTGGCTAACAACAATGACTAATACTAACAATGATAATATTTACCGGAGATGCTGCTCAAAAGCATAAATCTAGCCTGTGAATCCAAGAATGAATTTATCAGTACAACAGATAATGATCGTTTTCCTGCGCTTTCTCTGAGTGCTGCTTTCCTTCCCCTGCAGCTGTGAAGCAATTTGTTTTTCAGAAACAAATATTCCAAATATTCCAGTTTGTATGAGAAAGATATGGGGAAATGTCTCAACAGTGAGACCAAAAACTAACCCACACATCTGACCTCCCACTGACAAAAGGAAAAAGCCGCATTATTGGTCATTAAAGTTCTTTTAATAACTTTTTAAAAAACATACACAATAGGAATACTGTAATTTAAAAATCTAATTATTCGATCATTTCTTTAAAAGTAAAAAAGCCACTTTTCATAACACCATCTCCGAGTACAAAGTGCCCAGCAAGCAAAGAATTACATTTAAAAACAAATAACAAAATAAAACACAACACACACAGCAGTGGTAAACAGGTCCATATAAGCATAATGGTAGAACAGCACCTTGCATGTAAAAAAGCATTAAAAGAAAATCTTTTCATATATTTTTATCAGCTTGTGCAGTGAATAATGATCACCTCATAATCCATCACCACATTTACAGTAGATTAATGTGAACAGTTAGTAATAGACAGTTGAATATCACAAAAAAGAGTGTGCATTCCTATGGAATGGATTCAAGTTAAATGCTGATGACCCATTATTTAGCCCCAAAGAGGGATGTCAGACCTTGCTCTCTGATAAATCTTTAGCACCTCATAGTGAGCCACACCCTAATTTATCATATTGACTAAAACAGGATGTAGAAAGATCCTGGTAGAGGTGATTCTGTGCTACTTCCCATATTTCCACCACATTCTGTTTTAATTGGTAGGTTTTCCAACAGCTGTAATACAAGATCAAAAAATTCAGTGTGCAAATCATCCCGTTTGACACCATGTGTGGGGTACCTGCAACTGCTCAAATGGACCGTTTCAAATATGATTATATGTTGAACAGGATATGAACTACAACAAGGCTAACCCAAAATGTAAAAGATTTACCAAGGTATTTTGTTTGCGGTGTTTGGCAGTGGTGAAAGTAGTTCTACAATTCAAAGTTGATTGCCTCATAAACCATTTACACATGCTGCAAAAATGTTATCACAGTAGCAGCACTGTGTGGGCGTGGACTGTTGATATGTGACATTCTGCCAGTAACTCAGCACTGTTTACCAACTGTCCTTATCAAACCCACAGAGTCGGCTATGGCAACACATGGTCAGGCATGTACAAATAATAACAGACTGCTTGAGCTTTTTATGGTGTTGCCATCCAGAAAGGTTTACACAATTTACCTGGACTGTTTTCTCAAATTACTGCAGTGAATTACTAATTAATTAGTGTTCCCCTACTGATTACATTCACATTCAAAACATGCTTATGGAAAAAAAAAAACTCATACATGGTACTACAGTACAAATGATTGGACATCTCTTAATAGTATTGATATAAGTGTTGCATCAAAATCTGACCGTTTGCCTTCTACAACCTTACAGAAAAAAGAATGGTTGGTATGATAAAGATATTCTTTGCTCATGGGCCCAAGTTTGTGGAATATGTTTCCAAAGTGTCATAGTTTTTTTTTGCTGCTAACTGATTCACGTTAAGTGACAGTTATTGTTAGTGACAGTGTTATCTCACAGAAAGTTCTGTCCTCAGGGTTTAACAGACTGAACTGCTTCTTATCATTTTCATTAACAACAAATTAAATAATGTGATGTCCTTTCAAAACATAAAGTTTCATGGTGGCTGAGATGATGTGTACTTGCTTACATGTTGGTGATAGCCACAGGCCAGCAGCAACATGGTTTGATTGCTGCATTTGAATTTAATCTCTGAAGTCGGTCGTACAATAACACAACCGTGCTTGTTGCGGTACAGTAGTCTTTAAAAGTGGGGAAAACCTTGATGACGGTGACCCGCCTGGAGTGCCGTTGTTTGATCAACCTGCCGGCTTGTCCAACATTTTGAATCAAGACATCTGCCTAAAACCACGGAATGAATCCTAATGCTTTTAGTGACTAATACTACTATACTACTACACTAATACTGCTCTCCACTTGTAAACAAGAAATAAGCAAAGTGGCATAATATCACTGAGCACTTTCATGTTCTCAAGGGAATAAACCTTTTCTATTTCTTCTAGTGTCACTGTCACGATGCCAGATCTGTGAATTGTCAGCACTGACTCATTTCCAGAGCTGTCCATAATGCAATCAACCACCCTAATCACAGAAATTCAATTGACAATGGTATAAAACTAAGAAAATCACTACCTATGAGAAGTTGGAATAGTTTTTTTCCTAATTACTGTCGATTCATTTTCTGACAATCAATTAATCAACTGATTGTTTATACACTAAAGCTGACAACAAAATAAATATGTATTTTATATAAGTATAAAGTGGAGGCACTGTCTAACACGTTGCTAGGTCTCCCATAGGTCATAGGATATGAGTCACTTCTTTTTCATACTCATCAGAACATTCAGTGACCCCCTCATGCCCTATGAATGGAGCACTGCTATCCTGGATGTCATGCTGACTTATCCAGGGGTTTCCTTTAATTTGTCACCATTACATGCCTTTTGGGATAGTGTATCACAGTTCTCATACTTAAATCATTGTTAAAGCAGCAGGTATATGTCTCTGTAAGCTGTTATTAATGAGTTAAATGCAATGCAGCTTATAATTTCAACATGATATGGCAAACCTGTAGTCGAACAGATACTAGTAGCTTCTTGCTGTTGCAAATTCATCATTGGGTTTAGATTTTTCATGAGCTCAACACAAAACATCTCACCAGATTACTGATGAGATGTACTCTCCAGATAGCGCAATTCGGCACCAAAGAACATCTGGCATTCTTTTTTGACAATCAACTCGGGGCATGATGATGACACGCGCAGTCTGGTGTTAGCATTCAGGCTAAACAGGCCTTCTGTATAGAGGGATTTACTCCACTGTGTCGTGCTGCAACTCACTGTGTCCACTGATATCAGCAAAGGTACGTCAACATTGTACCCATCCCAGATTTTATACACCTTGTTGGTGAGTCTCAGCTCATTTACAGAGCAGTGATATTCAGTCTTGCTCTCATAGGTGATCTGCAAGAAGACTCGATAGAGACCATTTACTGGCACCACTAGGTTCCCGTTGGAGTAGTTGAAACCACGACAGTGAGCGTGTCCTTCCTCCCCCTGGCTCTCCCATTCAAGATATTCTCCATTTGTGATGTTGCCATGAGGAGCTTAGAATAAGAGCAGAAAGGTAGAAATGAGGTTATGAATATTTCTATTTCTGTATCATTTTAGATTACATGAAACATGTCATAGCACTGGCAGTAAAGAATGCAGAACGTATAGTGTTAGTGTAACAGCTATGAAAGAACTTTTGCTTTTAACTCCTGGTCATCAAAGAAGCAACTTTGTGCCTGGGTCCACACCTATGAGTGTGCTGATCACTGTTATGGCAAATGGTCTTATACTTGTAGAGTGCTTTTCTATGCATTACAACACAGTCAAAGTGCTTTCACACTATGTGGCCATTTAGCCTTTCGCACTTCCAAAACCGGTCATCACCGGGAGGATCTGCTATCTGACTCACAAGTCATATGCCAGATTACTGAAAATCACTGATCCGGTGTGAGATCATTCACTGTTTGCTGCAGGGCATTTCCCTTGTGAAGATTTTTTTAAATATTCTTTATGAGCCAAGTCAAAGGAATCCAAGTCTATGCAGTGCATGCAACATAGGTAAACTAATAAAGTCTTTACATTAACAGTGTATTGTAATGTACTGTATAGGTTCATATAGTTTACATATTATCTAACACCAACATTCAGAATCTATGTTGTATATGCTGAAACTGGTTTTTTATTCTAAAGTAGAGCACTACAGTCAAAGTTGGCATGTAAATTGTTAGTCAGTGCAACCAGAAGCAAGGTACAGTAAAACTCTGGTGCAAACGTGTTTTTGTGTACACTATGCTTTACCTGTAAGCATGGCACTTGGAAGGTGGGCACCTATAGGAGAGATTCAAAAAATGTTTTACACACTGATGAATGATTGCTTTTACAAACCCATTTTCTCTTCTACCAGAAAGAATTCAACTTAATATGTCACTAGATTACTGACCAGCATACTTTGATGGAGGTCCCTCAGGCTGTGTCACTGACTGTAAGGAGACAAACAATTTTAGTGACATTTGTTATAACTAGCATGTATAAAGGTGGTACAGAATACTAGCACTAGTAGTAGCTACTGTGTGTGTGTGTGCCTACTTTAAATATTGATACTACTAGAATATTTCTATTATATAACAATAGTATGTAAAGCAATGAATAACAATATTTATGACAAAGAATAACTAATCCTTAAAATATGCTGCAAATGCAGTGCAACGTCACACATAAGGCTAATAGTGGGCTAGTAAACACAAGCTGCATCTGGGGCATGAAGCAGTCCTAGTCATTTACTAAAATGCATTACAACTGTCCTGTTGTTGTGAAGTAAATCTGAATACCTTAATAGTGCATTTGTTAGAAAAATATTGATAAAGACTGATGAAGAGGAAACTGTTTTTATGACTGAGGAATGATGAAATTGTTCTAACTTTGGCCAGCTAACTATAACTCAATCATTGTAGCCCATCCCAGTGAGATAGGGTAATGGTGCGCAATAAAGTAGATTATCTGATGTGAGATTTGTTTTTTTTTCCAAAATAAACTCATAACCAAGACCAAGTACATTGACTTTCAAAGGTTATATTTGCTGAACATTTCAGAATGATTTTAAGGCTGATTCCTCCTTATAATTCAAAACTGTAATTCAGAGTTAGAGCCACACCTGAAATGCAGACGATGTACCTGTTCCCTCATCAGCCTTTGCTTCTCTAGCCTGATGCTGTGTTTCCTACAAGCTGGCAAGCTGTCTACAGTCAGGATGGCTCTTATGAATGCTAGATCGCTAGCTAATAAAACTTTTGTTCTTAATGATTTCTTTACCTCTCATAGCCTGGACTTCATGTTAGTGACTGAGATCAGGCTCAAGGCTCGTGATTTAAGTTCCTTTTCTGAGCTACTCCGTATGCCTGTGTTAGATTTGTCCAGTTATAGTGTTGTAATCACAGAAGCAGATATAAAATTGACACTATATATTAAAACTTAGCTATCTTTAAAAATATTTTACATATTAATGATAGTAAGATGGAGTATGTGCTGCTTGGGAGTCCCAGTTGTGTGTCTAATTACAACCTTGGCCCACTGGATGTTTACTTGAAGCTGCATGTAAAAAACTTAGGGGTGGTATATGATAGCGCCCTTAAGATGCACAAGCAGGTCAACTCAGTAGTTAAGGCAAACTTTTGACAGCTGAGACTTTTAGCTAAAATCGGGCACTTTTTTTAAATGAGTGAAAAGGTGAATCATGCCTTCATCACCTCGAGGACTGACTTTTGCAATGCACTGTATTTTGGGATTTCCCAGTCCTCCCTGTCTTGTCTTCCGTTGGTCCAGAATGCTGCTCACTTGTTGACTAACACAGACAAAAACGGAACATATGACTCCGATCTTGGCCTGTCTTTCGCTTTAGCATTATTTTTAAGATGCTGTTATTTGCTTTTGAAAACATATTTATTTAGGCAAGTGTTTATCACTGGCTCCCACTAGGACATTTACTAGTTTGTCTATCTGTTTTATGTATTTTTGATTGGGATCTTATTGAATCTTGTATCTGTTGTTGTGGTTATTTTTATTGACGGTCTATCCTGTATGTAGATTTTATTGTACTTACTGTATTAATCATAGTTTGTTATCTTGTAGTTATTTTTTCTTATTGTGAAGCACTTTGTAACTCTGGTTTAGAAAAGTGCTATGTAAATAAACATTAGCTTACTTACAAACAAACAAAACACAATATTACGCCCGTCATGCATCTAGACTGGGGGTGCGTTGCCCTGTTGCTAAGCAACGAAACAGCCCTGATGGTTTCGCCCTGTACTCGCCAAATCATTATTAAAAACTTCGGAAAAGCGCTTAAAAACACCGAGACGCGTCAGTCTGTTGTGGCTAGGTAATGGTGTTTTCTTTATACTGCCAATTGAAAACTAGAAGAAAAGTACATTTTGTAAACATACCTCCAAAACGTTTCGTACAGGTTCACTAGAAGAGAGAACACTAACGCAGGTTGTAGTCCTACAGCAGGCACCGTGAACGTAGACCTATAGGCTCCTTATGCACATCAACGTGAACACCGGCTTTATTTTAACACCACAAATAGTAAAGCACGAAACAAATCATTAAAATTCCCCCGCCAGAGCACTTTGGTTCAGCCTTTAGCGATTTTTAGCAAACACCTTTGAATAAACTTTGACCTACTTTAGGATTACAGAACCGCAGATATCCTATCACAATATTAAAACATTATCCTACCCTAGCAGCACAAAGCCATATCGACCTGTTGTGTATTTTGATAATCTAGACATTTCTAAATGGAAGCCACAGTCTGTGCTGTAATGTTTTTGGCCCCATCACAATGGCACCTGTTAACCAAAGGACTAGGGACTGTTCAGGTAGAAGGTAAAGCTATTACCTGGCTGCCCGGTAGCTGATAACCTCGCACTCCAAGTACCACCACAGTTACTAAAAACAGGGGTAGAAGTGTCACGGCTAAAATGTGATCCGCCCAAAAAAATCTGGCGAAGTTTAACCCGGCTCCGATGTGATCCTACGTCCTCTACGCAGCAGCAGCAGCAGCTGCAACAGGGGCAGCGGTCTTCCTCCATGTCACTAGTATCCCACACAGATCAGTCGCCGGAGCCTGTCAGCATCCCCATTTATCTGCGTGGCATCGCCCACGTTGAACACTACTGCACTGGAAGGGAGTTCAGTTTCACTGTCAGGACTCAAACATGAACTTCCTCTTTCTGAAGTGAGTTTGTCATAGACTGAAAACTGTTCATCTTCACTGTTAGGGACGAGTTCATCATAACAGTGTGCAGACCAGACTAAACTGATACCATAACCTACACACCCGGGTCTGCTATTTTACTACCTTTTGCACTCCTGTTCACATGACATATTCTGAAATCTGACTTCTATTTTTATTTTTTCCACCCTAAATGTATTGATGCATTCTCATTTCTATATAATCAATGTGCATTATGTAGATACAACTGGGTCTACTTCTATAAAACCCAGGTTTCCATTTTCTTGACGTGAACATGAGACTCACATTCTCATGACATCTGGGGAAGTCCCCACAAAATGTAAAGTAAGCAGACATTACTCTGGTATTAGTTGCAAAAGTGGCCAGATAAGTTAGACCATTTTGGAGAAAGAAATAGCAATGAGAAAGGTTTACAAGATTCCTCCTCTCAGGAGTTTAATAGCAACAACAATAAGTGACAATAGTAACAAGAACTGGATGTTTGTGTGTTAAGATACAGGCAGGTGACAAATAATGGCTGAAAGGCTGGATGTGAGAGGAAAAGGGTGGGGGAGGGGATCAGAACAGTGTGAGGAGCCTGGAGCTGTGATTTAAGGAATGATCATCGGCCATGATGGTCATGAACAGTGGCCAGGTTTGACACCAGCAAATGCAAAACTTGTACTGGAGGGACAGCATGGGAGAAGTAGAAATTAGCTGAATCAGCTTGGGTGAGAAAAAGCCTCCGTCCACTCAGAACTGTTTTTTGATGATGCTGATTCACTTGGATTTTTAAGCTTGTCTCACATACATGGACACACACATGGCTTTAAGTTGAAGATATGTAAGGAATGCAAAGACAACAGTTAAACTGATTTTTATTTGAGAGCTGAGCTCCACCTTTGGGGTATTATTTACATCATTTTTTGTCTGGGTGGTGTGTTTTAGTCCTGCAGCTGCATATAGGGCAGTCCATTGATAATAAGAAATACAAAAAAAACAAAAGCTGTGGGCTGACTGCAACATCACACCCTGGAGCGTGAAGGGTCGGGAGCTTGTTGAGTGACACTGCACACACAGTATTCTACCTGTACAATAATAGTGCTACTATTCACATTCA